GCAAAGTTAACAGACAACCCACAGAGTGGGAGAAAATCTTTATCATCTAGGCATCCGACAAAGGACTAATATCTAGAATCTACAAGGAAGTCAAATACATCAGCAAGAAAAAAAAAATCCATCAAAAAGTAGACTAGGAACATTAATAGACAATTCTTTTTTTTTTTTTTTTTTTTGAGACAGAGTCTTGCTCTGTCACCTAGGCTGGAGTGCAGTGGCATCATCTTGGCTCACTGCAACCTCTGCCTCCTAGGTTCAAGCGATTCTCCTACCTCAGCCTCACAGGTAGTTGGGACTATAGGCACGTGCCACCATGCCTGGCTAGTTTTTTGTATTTTTTGTAGAGACAGCATTTCACCGTGTTAGGTAGGATGGTCTCAATCTCGTGACCTCACGATCCGCCCGTCTCAGCCTCCCAAAATGCTGGGATTACAGCCGTGAGCCAACACGCCCGGCCAGAATAGACAATTCTTAAAAGAAGATACACAAATGGCCAAAAAGCATATGGAAAAATGCTCAACATCACTAATGATCAGGGAAATGCAAATCAAAACCACAATGCGATACCACCTCACTCCTGCAATAACGGCCATAATAAAAAAAAATCAAAAAATAATAGATGTTGGCAGGGATGCAGTGAAAATGCAACGCTTACAATCTTCACACTGCTGGTGAGAATGTAAACTAGCACAACCAAAGTGTGAAGATTACTTAAAGAACTAAAAGTAGATCTACCGTTTGATCCAGCAATCCCACTGCTAGGTGTCTACCCAGAGGAAAAGAAGTCATTATACAAAAAAGACACTTGAACACGCAGGTTTATAGGGTCACAATTTGAAATTGCAAAAACATGGAGCCAGCCCAAATGCCCATCAATCAACGAGTGGATAAAGAACATGTGGTGGGGTGTGTGTGTGTATAGGTATATATATGTGTGTGTGTGTATGTGTGTATATATATACACCTATACACACACATATATACACACACACACACATACATACACCATGGAATACTACTCAGCCGCAAAAAGGAACAAAATAATTGCATTCGTAGCAACCTGGATGGAATTGCAGACTATTATTCTAAGTGAAGTAACTCAGGAATGGAAAACCAAACATTATATGTTCTCACTCACATGTGGGAGCTAAGCAACGAGAACATAAAGGCATAAGAATGACACACTGGACTTTGAGGACTTGGGGGAAAGGGTGGCGAGTAGCGAGAAGACTACCCATTGGGTATACTGTAAACTGGTCAGATGATGGGTGCACCAAAATCCTAGAAATAATCACTGAAGAACTTATTCATGTAACCAAATACTACCTGTTCCCCAAAAACTTACTGAAATTAAAAATTTTAAAAACTTATTTTTAATGTTTGTTGCGTATCACTGGTCTTGAAATATAAGATTCAAAGCTTCTCAAATTATTTGACCACAGAATGCCTTTTGTCAGACTTCTGATTTACACAGCCTGGAAATCAATTTGGGAAAGGCTACTGGAGTGCTCATAAAAGTTAAAACATTGTCAACTATGAGAGCCCACCATTCATACTGATCCATTAATAGTTTTGAGAACAATGTTTTTTTCCCAACTGCTCTATTCAACTTAAGTTTTAACCAGAATAGCCCAAGTCCTCTGTGGTCCTGTAGTGTATTTGTTTTCTTCTAACATTAATATCAATTATTCATTTTCTTATCTTAAGACACTATATAAAGTCTCTGCTGCATAAGTCTCTAAGTAGTTGTGGGCATCGCTGTCTTGTTTCCTATTTAAATGCAAGTAGCTTCAGTACTTCAATATTTAATACAATATTTACTTTAAATTTTAGTCACTAATTTTTATCAGATTTGGGTGATTTCTTCCTATCTGCATTTTACTTAGAACTTTTACCAGGAAAGACTAAATTTTATCAAATGTCCACTTTTATCAGATTTAGGTAATTTCTTCCTATCTGTATTTTACTTAGAACTTTTACTGGGAAAGACTAAATTTTATCAAATGAATCACATGATTTTCACCTTTCATTTGTTCAGTAATGAAGTACATTGAAATATCCTGGTGGTAAAATATCCTTATATCCTAGAATAAACCTTACCTAGTCATGCTATATTATTAATTTAGATTGCTGATGAAGTTCATTCCCTAACGCTGAAATAAGAAACGTAACTTTAAACAAACATACCTTAACTATTTGGAAAGGTAATTATGCAGCTAAAAAGACTAAGGTAGGAAAAGAAATTAACACTACATAATCTGATTTACCAGAAATTTTAATCAAATGTATTTATTTTATTTTAGTCACATTCTTATTTGTATAGATTGACAAATTTCCATTTCTTTTAGATCAAGTTAATTTTTTTGATTCCTCTATGAAAGTAAAATTATGTCATCTGTCTTCCAAAGATATATTTCAGAAAACATAAAGAATATGAACAGCAACTGTGAATATTAAGGCAAATTTAAGTATCAGAAAGTTGAAAGATGAAAAACAAAACCTAAAAATAAAAAAGTTCTTTTTTAATTAATGATTCACCTAAATAATACCACTTATATTTTTTTAACTTACAAGATTTTTTATTGCAATTTTCTCTGTAATCATACAACGTGCATTCTTGTGAACTACTTTTAATACAATAATGAATCATACAATGTAACAATACAGGGGAAAGTTGCTCAAATATTCCCTATAATATTCTTGAGTCATGGATAAGCAGATATAAATGCAAAAGAATCTTAACCATTTAATCACTGGCAAGGATGTTGAGAAAAAGGGAACCCTCATACACTGTTGGTGAAAATGTGAATTAGTAAAACCATTATGAACAGTTTGGAGTTTCCTCAAAAACCTAAAAACAGAGCTACCATATGACTTAGCGAACCCACTGCAGGGTATATATCCAAAACAAAGGAAATCAGTACATCAAAACGATATGTGTGCTCCTATGTTGGTTGCAGCACTGTTTGCAATAGCCAAAATTCGGAAGCAAACTAAGCGTCCATCAACAGATGAACGGATAAAGAAAATGTGGTACATACATGCAGTGGAGTACTATTCAGCCATGAAAAAAGAATGAGATCCAGTAACTTACAACAACATTAATGGAGCTGGAGATCATTACGTTAAATGAAATAAGCCAGACATGCAGACAACCATTGCATGTTCTCACTTATTTGTGAGATCCAAAAATCAAAACAATGGAACTCATGAACATAGAGAGAAGAAGGATGGTTACCAGAGGCTGAAGAGGGTGGCAAGGTATGGGAATGAGGTAAGGATGGTTAATGGGTAAAAAAAAAAAAAAAAAGAAAGAAAATATATACACATATATATATATATCATGAATATGGCCTAATATTTGATAGCACAACAGAGTGACTATAGTCAACAATAATATAACTGTACATTTTAAAATAACTAAAAGAGGCCAGGCACAGTGGCTCATGTCTGTAATCCCAGCACTTTGGGAGGCGAAAGTGGGCGGATCACCTGAGTTCAGGAGTTTGTGACCAGCCTGCACAACATGGTAAAACTCCATCTCTAGTAAAAATATAAAAATTAGCTGGGCATGGTGGCAAGCACCTGTAATCCCAGCTACTTAGGAAGCTAAGGCAGGAGAATCACTTGAACCCAGGAGGTGGAGGTTGCAGTGAGCCAAGATCGTGGCACTCTAGCCAGGGCGACAAGAGTGAAACTCTGTCTCAAAAAAATAACATAACATAACATAACATAACATAACATAACATAACATAACATAACATAACAAAACAAAATAACTAAAAGAGTTTAATTGGATTGTTCGTAACACAAAGGATAAATGCTTGAGAAGACGGATACCCATTTTACATGATGTGATTATTATGCATTGCATGGCTGTATCAAAATATCTCACATACCCCATAAATACATATACCTACTGTGTACTCACAAAAATTAAAATAAAAAAATTTTAGGGTCTGGTGTCGTAGCTCACGCCTATAATCCCAGCACTTTGGGAGGCCGAGGCAGGCAGATCACCTGAGGTCAGGAGTTTGAGACCAGCCTGGCCAACATGGTGAAACCCCATCTCTACTAAAAATACAGAATTAGCCTGGTGTGGTGGCGCACGCCTGTAATTCCAGCTACTTGGGAGGCTGAGGTAGGAGAATCATTTGAACCTAGGAGATGGAGGTTGCAGTGAGCTGAGATCACGCCATTGCACTCCAGCCTAAGCAACAAGAACAAAACTCCATCTCAAAAAAAAATAATATTTAATAACCGAGAAAATTTCATTAATTTGCTTCAATGTGATGCTGGTATTATGAACTGAAATTACACCAAATTTAATCAATTTCCTTGATTATTCCTTTCAAAATCAATCTGAGCCAATAAGCTTATGTTAGCTATTAGACTCAGATGGAAATAAGTCTTTATTATAAAAATAATTAGTCACAACTTCAAAGCCCTTTGAGTCCACTTAATAGCATCAATCTGATCCAATCTTAAAAAACTCTACAGAAATTTATACCACTCTCACTTTCACAGTGTCCATTTTTGTTTAATCAACTACTACACTATCAGATAAAATCAAAGTAAAGAACAAGGATATACAGGCTGGGCACAGTGGTTCATGCCTGTAATCTCAGCACTTTGGGAGGCTGAGGCAGGCGGATCATTTGAGGTCAGTTCGAGACCAATCTGACCAATATGGTGAAACCCCATCTCTACTAAAATACAAAAATTAGCCAGGTGTGGCGGTGGGCACCTGTAATCTCAGCTACTTGAGAGGCTGAGGCAGGAGAATCACTTGAACCCAGGAGGTGGAGGTTGCAGTGAGCCAAGACTGTACCACTGCACTCCAGCCTGGGCAACAGAGCAAGACTCCCTCTAAAAAAAAGAATATATAAAGTCAGAATTCCTAATATTCCACTTACTACTTTACCGCCAAGATTGTAACAATACAAATGTTAAATATCTAAAGATATGAATGTATTAGATGAATTATCAACAATACTCACGCATCATTTGAGCAAGTCATAAATTCTCCCTTTATTTTGGGATGCCATGAGCCAGTATGAAGCATTGCTGTATGACCCTTAAAAATAAAGACAAAGGGGAAAAAAAAGATGTTTTAAAAAGGTAAAAAATAAACTGACTAGAAACTGACATGTCATTTTTAAATGTAAAAATTTTTAGTTCCCCCAAAAGTGTACCATTTTAATTATAAACCTATATTATTTTATCCCAATTTTCTCTCATAACATGCTTTGTTTATTTTGCTTTAGCTCTTTGTGTACCACCCCGTGCCCACCTCAGGAATTAACTCAGTGCTTGTATGTAACAGGTGCTTAATAAGGTGGGAAATGGAGAGGAAAATGACATCCTTTCCTTAGGGGGAAAAAAAAAGGAAAGGTAAAGCCATAATAAGAAAGACAGGTCTTCTTCAAAGATCATAACTCCTTTCTTCAGTGGAAGACAATCAAAAATAGAAAGCATTTACAAATAAGCAAGGTGAAGGCAAGAAATTGGGAGGGAAATCCGTATTTCCTAAAAATGTGTCAACAACCTTGATTCTACAATGCCTCTGTAAAAATATGTATGTGAGAAAAGGAAGAATATATTTTAAGTGATTGGGGAAAATTAGCCCCGCTAAGTATAGAGAATATAAAAATACTATAATTAAAACAATGTGATGCTGGTATATATAAACTGACATATACACCAAATCAACTAGAGTACATAGCAAACATAAACACACACATACACACAAATGCCTACTTCCCTCTTAGGCAGCAAACTCAGCTAGAGTGGTCTCATACAGCAAGTCAGATTTACGTGGGACAGAAAAGAGCCTGGTCCTTTTTAGTATAATAACTGCAGTATCTCTTACTCTGACACAGCTCAAAATAAAACTATGATTAAAGAAGTAAAATGGACACATTTAAATGACTTACAAGAAAAATAACAGTAACTCTCTGGAAAGATACATGGGCCTGGAGATCATCTTCAGCCAAAGTTGTCTACAATGCCTCAAACAGTATCTGGCCAAGGCCTGCCATTCTGTTCATGTTTACAGAATACAAATGAGGGGAGGTGGAGACTCTTAGCCATGTTAGAGGCATGAATTGAACCAATACCTGGAAGGACTAGATGGCAAGTCTGAGATCTCATTTTCCACCCCTGAACTCAACGCTTGCACATCCAACTATCTACTTGACATTTCTATCTGTATATCATAGGCATCTGGAACACAATAGGTACAAGGGAAAATCTTGATTCTTTCTGCTCACTTTATTTTCTATCAGTTTCTTTCCTAGTAGCTCAAGCTAAAAACGTGGAAGTTGTTCTTAAATATTCCCATAACCATAGCCCTAAAACCTTCTATCTACACAGATTCAATTCACCAGCTATTCCTGTCAATTCTATCCAAAATACATTCTATTTCTATTCACTTTCTAAAATCTATTCACTTTTCTCTTTTTCGTCACTATCACTTATTCTCTCACAACATTCTCTCATGCTTCTACATCAGTTAATATGTACTGTAACAGGTTTGTTATTAATCTCTCTGCTTTTTCCTTTTTTTTTTTTTTGTTTTCTTGAGACAGGGTCTCACTCTGTCACCCAGGCTGGGGTGCAGTGGTGTGTGCACAGCTTACTGTAGCCTTGGCCTCCTGAGCTGAAGTGATCCTCCTGTCTCAGCCTCCCAAGTGACTGGGATTACAGCAATGAGCCACCATGCCTGGCTAATTTTTGCATTTTTTGTAGAGAGGGGGTCTCACCATGTTGCCCAGGCTGGTTTTGAACTCCTGGGATCAAGTGATCTGCTCACCTCGCCTTCCAAAGTGCTGGGATTATAGGAGTGAGCCACTGCGCTCACCTCTGCTTTCATTTTACCTCATGTGCTCTACATAGCAATCAGCATAATCCTTTAAAAATATAGTTCTAATGCAGGAACAGAACACCAAACACTGCATGCTCTCACTTTTAAGTGGGAGCTGAACGATGAGAAGATGAGAACACATGGACACATTGTCAGAGGAACAACATGAACTGGGGCCTCTCGGGGGCGCAGGGTGGAGGGAGGGAGAATATCAGGAAGAACAGCTAATGGATGCTGGGGTTAATACCTAGGTGACGGGTTGATCTGTGCAGCAAATCACCATGGCACACATTCACCTATATAACAAACCTGCATATCCTGCACATGTACGCTAGAACTTAAAATAAAAGTTAATGGAAATAAAATACATATATATGTGTGTGTGTGCATGTGTGTGTGTGTATATATATATAGTTCTAAATATGCCATAATGTCGGCACAGTGGCTCATAACTATAATCCCAGCACTTTGAGAGGCTGAGGCAGAACAATCACTTAAGGTCCGCAGTTTGAGATCAGCCTGGGCAACAGAGTGAGATCCTGTCTCAACAAAAAATAAAAATAAAAACTTAGCTGAGTGTAGGGTAGACATCTATAGTTCCAGTTATTAGGGGACTAAAGTGGGAGGATCACTCGAACCCAGGAGTTGGAGGTTACAGTGAGCTATAACTGCACCAGTGCACTCCAGCCTAGGTGACAGTGTCAGTCAGACACCATCTCAAAATAAATAAACTGATCAATTTAATTAAATTAAAATGCCACTTCACTGCATATAACCTTTTGCTGGCTTTATAACCTTTTACAGAGTGTGATGGTTAATACTGAGTGTCAACTTGATTGGATTGAAGGATACAAAGTATTGATCCTCAGTGTGTCTGTGGGGGTGTTGCCAACAGAGATTAACATGTGAGTCAGTGGGCTGGGAAAGGCAGACCCACCCTTAATCTGGGTGGGCACAATCTAATCAGCTGCCAGCATGGCTAGAATATAAGCAGGCAAAAAAATGTGAAAAGAGAGACTGGCCTAGCCTCCGGGCCTACATCTTTCTCCCATGCTGGATGCTTCCTGCCCCCGAACATCAGACTCCAAGTTCTTCAGCTTTAGCACACAGACTAGCTTCCTTGCTCCTCAGCATGCAGATGGCCTATTGTGGGACTTTGCAATCATGCCAGTTAATACTTGATAAACTTCCCTATATGTATATTCCATTAGTTCTGTCCCTCTAGGGAACTCTAATATACACAGTCCACAACGAATTTTATTTTCTGGCTCCACATTCCTTGCAACTTCACTTATTTTGTGTTCCCTCATGACCAACACGTACCAGCCACTTCCTTCCTTTCAGTTCCTCCAATACGCTCAGCTCTGCTCCATATCAGGCCCTTCTTATATGCTTTCCCATATGCTGGAAAGCTCTTTTTTCCACTTTCCCATGACTGGCTCCTTCTCATTATTTCAATCTCAGTTTACATGCCACTTGCTCAAATAAGTATTCCCTGGTCCTCTATGTAGGTAAACATGACCCATGAGATTGTTCTTTACCTTAGTATCTGTGCGTTTCCTTAATAATAGACATCATAGTTTGTGGTTCTTTATTCATTTTTTGACTTTGGAACAGTGTAAGCATTTTACATATTCACACAAAAAAATAAGGATGGGACAACCAAAAACTGAATATAAACAGGAACAAATCAACCTTACATTTAAAATGAGTAACACATATACTGAAAGAATAAACAGAAGGTAATACCCCAGAAAACTATCTACCCTATAAGTGGGTTGATGGCTCCCAAAAAGATATGTCCATATTCTAATCCCAAGAATATGTAAACATGACCTTATTTTGGGAAAGGGTATTTGCAGATATAATTAAGAATCTCGGCTGGTTGCGGTGCCTCATGCCAGTAATCCCAGCTCTTTGGGAGGCCAAGATAGGCAGATTGCTTGAGCTCAGGAGTTCGAGACCAGCCTGGGCAACATGGCAAAACCCCATCTCTACAAAAAAAAAAAGAAAAAAAATTATCCAGGCATGGTGGCACACAATGGTAGTCACAGCTACTCGAAAGGCTGTCACAGCTACTCGAAAGGCTGAGAGGGGAGGTTCTCTTGGGCCCAAGAGGTTGAGGCTGCAGTGAGCCATTATCACACCACTGCACTTCGGCATGAGCAAGACAGCAAGACCCTGTATCAAAAACAGAAACAAAAAAATCTAGATGTGATCCTGTGCAGGCTCTAAATCCAATGTCCTTATAAGAGACAGAAGACAGAGATAAATCTAAATGTCCTTATAAGAGATAGAAGACGACTGGGCATGGTGGCTCACACCTGTAATCTCAACACTTTGGGAGGCCAAGGCAGGCAGATCACTTGAGCTCAGTTAGAGACCAGCCTAGGCAACATGGCTAAATCCCATCTCTACAAAAAATACAAAAATTAGCCAGGTGTGGTGGCAGGTGCCTGTAGTCCCAGTTATTTGGGAGGCTGAGGTGGAGGATGGCTTGAGCCCAGGAGATGGAGACTGCAGTGAGCCGAGATCACACCACTACACACCAATCTGGGCAACACAATGAGACCCTGTCTCAAGAAAAAAAAATTAAAATAAAATTTAAAAAAGAGAAGAGAAGACACAAAGAGAAGGCTATGTAAAGACAGAGGCAGAGAACGGAGTTATACAAGCCAAGGAATACCCCAAGTCATCAGAAGCTGAAATGGGCAAGAAAGGTCATTCTTGCCTACAGCCATTGGAAAGACCCTGATCTTGCCAACACCTTGATTTCAGCCTTCTGGCCTCTGTAATAGTAAAAGAATATATTTCTGTTGTTTTAAGACACAAAGTTTGTAGTAATTAGTTAAAATAGCCCTAGGAACCTAGTACATATTCTCAGTCTAAGACCAAAAGAACTGTAAATAAATATTGAATTCTAATTAATACTTTTGTTTCTTTTTTGCAATGGTATACATTAGCAATTCGGAAACTGCCTCCAATATAATGAAGAACTAAGCCAAGAAGGAAATGTGTTGGGGATAATTAGAGTAAGGGTTAGCCCTGTTGGAGAAGATAGTTACAAAAGCGAAAAGGGGGAAGACTAGAACGAACTCTCTGATGTTAAATAGAAATTAGGGGTAGCAATGTGAACTCATGACTTTTTACTAGGTAGATTAAATTGTTATATATGTATATATGTGTTAGTTATTCTCTAGTTCTGTATGTTA